GCCGTGGGCTTCTGGCAGGAAACTACGGCCGCAGCTCGGCAGCACGGGGGCGTCGCAGCGTGCCGCCGCCGCCGCCGCGCTGCCCCCCGGGCACGGCGGCGGCGGCAGCAAGCTTGGGCCCAAACGCCGTGCCGCCGAGTCCCGTGGCTGCGACCGTAGACCGTGGGCCGGAAACTGCGGCCGCAGCTCGGCGGCACGTGGTTCTGGTCAAATCGCCAAGCGTGCAGCAGCGCCGAACCACGCTTCCCGGCCTCGGCGCATGCCTTCAGGGGCCCCCTATCGCTGGGCACACCCCTCCAACACCGAACATGCGCCCGGGGGGGAGGGCGGCCCGGGCTGCCCAGGCCAAAGTGGGCCGCCCTCGAGCAAGAGGCGGCCGGGCTGTGTGCTGAATGAATGACTGCAGGCATGACGGGCTCCGCTGCGGGAGGTGCAGGCTGGAAGGCCGCCAGGTCGGCGCCGAGCGTAGTCACCATCGTCTGGCGGTTCCTGCATGGCCATGGGGACAGACCAGGCATGGGCAGGTGTACAGTCGTGTCCACCGCCCTGGCTAGAGATACCGCCATGGCCGCAGGGCCCTGCTCATGCCCCACCCCCTGCTGCATATGCTGCCACCAGCCCCGCGCCGCCCACCTGATGCACGTGATGCCGTCAATCTTGGCGCACGGCTCGCCCGGCATGCTCTCCAGGTCCTCCGGCACGGTCGGCGAGTAGACGCCGTCACGCAGGCAGTACTGCAGCAGGGCGGCGCGAGCTCAGGCGCTGTGCACCGTGCCATGCCGTGCGTGCCACGGCCCCTGCGGCAGGCTGCCGGCGCGGCTCACCTCTCCCGTCAGCGAGCGCACCGCCTCCGCGCGTGTAGCGTTGGTCACAGAGACGTCGTCCATCCAGGCGCGGTCAAAGCCGAGCGCCTGGCACAGCGCATCAAACACGGCGTCGGTGCAAAGGGTGCCAGACTTCGCGCAGGGGTCCACGCTGACACCCATCACATTCAGCCCCGATTCACAGAAGAACCTGCAGGCAGGGACGATGCAGGCATTGCTCAGAGGTGTGGGTGGCAGGGCAGGGTGTACCGCCTAGGACGGCAGCCCGCAGCAGGCGGCGCACCACAGGTTGGCGCCCGGGAACGTCGGCTCAGTGCGGGGTCGCTCCGTCACCCAAACCTGGCCTCCATTTTCACACAGCGGCCAGGACAGCGCGGCAGCGGGCGTGAGGCTCAAGCTGGCGGCGACCGCCAGCAGCAGGATCGCCGCCGTGACGCGGAGCGAAGGAGCAGCCATTCGCAGCTCTCTAACTGTGAGTGCCTGCGCAGACAACATCAAAGAGTAAAGGCTGGCTCCATGCATTGCCTCAGGCGGGCCGGCAGAGAGCTGGCGCTCCGAGCGCTGCTGCCGCCGCCGGCCGGGGCGGCTGCTGCCGGAGGTGGCGGGCGCTGCCCTCAGGGCTGGCACCTGGCTGGCGCCGGGACACCTTGGAAGGGCTGCAGAGCTGCTGCAGGGGTCAAACTGGCACCAGGCGGCCGAGCACGGACCTTGGAGGGGTCGAGCTTGTGGCGGGTGTCGGTGGATGCAACTAGGGCGTTCGTTTGATCTCGCTCTGTGGGGCAAAGGTGACGAGGATGGCTGGAGGCGATGCAGAAGGCGCACGAGGCGAGCGGGACCTGTCCAGCTGGGATGTACAAATCAGCCGACCAAACGCTGCCTTCATTCGCTGTGCATAGCTAGATGTAGAACGAGAGTCAGGTGTAGAACGAGAGTAGGGTGCCTTACCGGTTCTACGGAAGTCGACCCCATGGCTAGTCCTCTCCCTGGCAATGACGCGGGCTCCTCCGGCGAGGAAGCGACATGCAAGTACTGCGGCGAGGCAGAGGACCACTCCCCCGGTGAGCCAGGGTCCACCTCCACTCGCCGCCGCCGTCGCCGCCGCCTGGCACATATGCGACTCACCCGCCGCTGCATACATGAACGATCCTTTTTGCAGATGGTCGCCTGGTCCATCCATGCCGCTGCACCACCCCCGTACACCACCGGTGTCTGATGCACTGGATGGTCCAATCGTTTCAGAGCGGCAGGGGCAGCGAGCACACGTGCGAGATCTGCAAGGAGCCGTGGCAAGGAGTGCTGTCTGGTGCGCCTGCACCATGGCTGCCTGCATTTGGGAGGCTCCAGGGCTGCTCCTGCCTGCACGCAGGCTTGCGTCACAGCCCCATGCCTGTTGCCCGCTCCTGCCTGCCGCTTCACCCGATGCAGTCCCAGCAGACGTGCTGGTCCACCAGCTGGGCCAGCTGCGGCAGGCCGTGCAGCGAGGCGGTGGGCTGTCGCAGCAGCAGATGCAGGCGCTGGCAGTGTACATCGAGGTCCAGGTGGCCCGCGAGGCGGAGCAGGAGAAGGGCAGGGCGCGGTCCCAGTGCCGCAGCACGATTGGGCGGCTGGACGCGGAGCGCAACGAGCTGCAGCGCCAGCTGGAACAGCTGAAGGACAAGCTGGGGCATGCCCTGGAGGACCGGGACCTAGCCCTGGAGGACCGGGACCTCGAGCGCGAGATGTGCAAGAAAGCGCACGACGCGCAGGCGGAGCAGCAGTGGGAGATGCGCCAGCTGCAGCACTCGCGGCAGCGCCTGGAGGCGGAGATCACGGGGCAGCGGCAGTGGGGGCGCAGGTGGCAGTGGGCCGCGTGTGCCTCTGGGCTGGCCGCCGTGGTGCTGTGGGCTGCGCGCCCCTCTGCCAGGGCGTGCTGATGCTGTGAGGGCGGCGTCTGCTGTGCAGCGGTTGCAAGCAAGCGCTTGGCATTGGGGTTTCAACCACGGCGGCGTCAAACAGAAAGTGCAACAACATCAGAACACAACAAAAATGGCGCTGGCGTGCGTCAGTCGGGAATGTGCAAATGAAAGGGTGCAGCGGGGCGGGTCAGAAGAGCAGGCACAGGGTGGGAGCGAGCACAGCGCAGGAGCGCCACTTGGGCGGCGCGGGGGCTGGTGCGAGTCGACGAGGCAGAGGCGTGTCAGCAGCAGAGTGTGGCATACATACAGGAGCGGGCGGTGGCACAGGCAGCAGCAGGTGGAGCAACCAGGAGGGAGGCATGTCAGTGGGAGCAGCAGGACAGTGTCGAGGAGGTGTGAGGCGTGGGCCTGCAAGCGGGGCTCCCTCACGATGCGCTGATCTGCTGCTGGAGGCCCCTCATCGCCTCCTCGATCTCCCGGAACAGCTGCTGGTTGGCGGCCGAGTGCGGCGCCACAGCCCGCAGCGCTGCATCCAGCGCCGCCGGCAGCGCGGCCGGAGGCAGGCCGCCGCCGCTCTGCGCGCCGCGCAGCAGCAGCACCAGGCTGTGCACGCAGCCCACGATGAGGCCGCCCAGGCGCAGGCCCTCGCCGCTGCCCCAGTCCAGAGGCGCGGCAGCTGGTGCCGGTGCCGCTGCCGCCGCCTCTGCCCCTCCTCCCTGCGCCTGCTCCTGCTCCTGCTGCTGCACGGCGGCCCCATCGGCAGCCCCTCCCTGCGCAGCGTCAGGTGACGGCACTGGGGGTGCCAGGCCTGCATCCGCCGCCTCCCTCTCCTCTGCCAGGGCCGACTCCGCGAGCTTGCGGCGGCAGGTGGCGATGATGCCGTGCGCCTGCTCCAGCGCGGCGGCGGAGAAGGCCTCGGCCGTCTGCGCCGGCGGCTCAGGCGGCTGCAGGCGCAGGGGCTGCAGCTGGCGCTGCAGCGCCGCGTCCGCCGCCAGGCTGGCGCCCAGCTGCTGGTGCTGCAGCGCGGCGGCGCCGCCGCCGCCGGCGGGCGACGCCGCTCCTCCCGCGGCGCCCTCGCCGCTGCCGCGCCGCTCCAGCTGCTCCAGCTTGCCCTGCACCTTGTCGTTCACCTGCGGGGCAAGCAGGGCGGGAGGCGGGGGCAGGTGGGGGCGGCGTGGGGGGGCGGCGCCACTGCCACAGCCTGCTGCCGGCACACCAGCCGGCGGGAGGCTGCAGCGTGCCGCGCCATGCGTGCACCCCCTCTGGACGCGACCTAGGCGGCGGCGCAGCCGCCTGCCCCCGCCTGCAGCCCACTCACATCCTTGAGCTGCAGCACCACCGAGGCATAGGCGTTGACAAAGGGGGGCGCAGCGGTGGCGCCCGCGCCGCCGTGCACCCCCGCCGCCGCCTCGTCGTTCATGCCGCGCAGCTGCAGCAGCAGCGCCTCCTTCTTGTCCAGCCCCACCACCAGCTGCAGCAGCAGCAGCAGCAGGGAGGCGGGCAGGCGCAGGCGCAGGTGGTGGGAGCAGAGGTGGTCAGGCAGCCCTGCAGGGCCTCTCGGCACACCAGCAGCAGCGGAATCTCGCGGCCTGCCGTTTCCCACCCGAGCGCCGCCACCTCACCTCTGCTAGCGCCTTGGCATCCGCCGCCCGCGCCTGCTGCTGCTGCTGCGGCGGCGGCGGCGGCTGCTGCGGCTGCTGCTGCTGCCCGCCACTGCCGCCCGCCGCGCCCGCCGCGGCCGCAGCCGCCCCGAGCGCCGGCAGCAGCCCCGGGACCGCAGGCGACGGCGTCCCTGCCGCCGCGGCCGCCGCGGCCGCCGCCGCCGCGGCCGGCACGGCCGCCGGCGTGGGCAGCACGGCGGCGGGTGGGCGGCGCGGCGCCAGCAGGCGCACCGGCTGGCCGTTGATGATCTGGCGCCCGTTGAGCACCATGTGAGGCCGCCCGGCCAGCAGCGCCGGCGGCAGGTTCTCGGAAGGCTCTGCGGGCATGACGTCTGTGTCCCTCACCAGCTCCACACCTAGCTCCTGCCGGTCAAACTGCACCCTGCACCAGCAGCGGCGCAGGGCGGGACGGCCGGTGGGCGGCGGCCCCGCCGGCGGCGGCGGGCAGCCCGGCAGCCAGCCCGGCGCGCGCTGCCGTGGCACGCGCCGGCCTGCACGCGCCGTGGCCGCCCTGGCTGGCGCAGCAGCGCCCCGCCCGTGCCCTGCACGCCCCGCCCCGGCCCCGCCGCCGCCGCCGCGGGCTCACCGGTAGCAGTTGTGTGCCGCGGTGAGGACGGAGCCGTCGTGGAGCTGGCGTGTGGCCGGGTGGCGCGCCACCACGCGCTGCCCCACCCCCAGCGGCAGCGGCAGGTGGTCTGCCACCTTGGGGTGCGCCACCGCCGCCGCGCCCGACTGGTACTGCTGGCGGCACCCGTCCCGCCACCGCTCCAGCCGCACCCGCTCCTCCTTCAGAAACTTGAGGGACAGGCGGCGAGGCTTGCCTGCGGGGCGGGCAGGCAGGACAGGGCAGGACGGAGCAGGGTGGGGGCAGGTGTGTTGAGTTGGGGTGGCGTGGGGCGGGCGTTGGGGGCCGGGGTGGCGGCGAGAGGCGCAGCAGAGCGGGCCCGACAGCGGCGGCACCAGCGGCAGCGCAACCCCCCGCCTCCCCCGTGCTCCCTGGACCAGCTGCTGCCCCCCGCCAGCCCCCCCGCCCAGGCCGCGCGCGCACCCAGGCTGGAGCGGATGAGGCACCACTCGCGCCGCGTCAGCCGCGCACCCTCCCCCAGCCCCAACTGCGCCAGCAGGCCGGCCAGCGGGTTGAACATGAAGAAAGGGCGGTCCAGAGCGGAGTAGCAGAACTCGGCGGCGGCCCAGCGCTGCGTGCGGGGCTGCTGCAGGCAGTGGCGCAGCCGAGCCTCGGCCGCCGTCTGGGGCGTGGCGGCGGCGGCGGCGGCGCCGGCCGCGCCGCCGGCCCCGCCCTCCTCGCCGCCGGGCGGGTATCCAAAGCTGGCCATGAGGGAGGGGCCCCCGGCCAGGGAGGAGCGGCGGGTGAACAGGGTCTTGACGGGGGAGGCCACAGAGGGGGCCACGCGCTCGGGCGCCGACTTGCGGCGGCGCATGCGCGGCATGGGGTTCTGGGGCGACGGCACAAAGCCGGGCGGGAAGTGCGCAAAGCCTGCGGCGGGCGGCGCGGCGGCGGCAGGCAGGGGCGTGAGCAGGCCGGCGGCGCGGCGGGCCGGCAGCGCGGCGCGCGCTCAGGCAGGGCCGCCCGCCGCCGCGGCTGCCTGCTGCCCCTGCCCTGCTCACCGGGCGACGTGATGTATCCCAGGTCTGCCATGCCGCCCAGCTCCGACAGCAGGTCGCCGCCCTCCAGCCCAGCCATGAGGTAGGGGCTGAGGCCGCGCAGGCCCAGCCCGGGGCTGCCGCAAG